TTTCACCTAGTCAGGGACATTGTTGCAGCAGTTTTCATCTTTCCACAGAAAATTTCTTCTGTCTTAGATCTCCTCACCTAAGCATGGTATTTTCTCCCCTACCTAAAAAATTACTCTTTCTAACCTGCTTTCGCTTTCAGCTAATACTCCACCAGCTAATACCCTAATGCTCTGCTCCTTTTCACATCAAAGCTCCTCAAGAATTATCTATCACACCCTCACCAATTCCTTTCCTCCCATCTACTCTTTTTTTTAAATGGATATAATATTCACATACTATAAAACTGACCATTCTAAAGTGTATGAGTCAGTGGTTTTAATATATTCACAATGTTGTGCCACCAGCGTCACTAATTCCAGAATATCTTCATCATCCCAGAAAGAAGCCCCATAGCCATTAGCAGCCACCCCTATTTCCTCCTTCACCCAGCCACTGGCGAACAACCTACTTTCTGTCTTTAAGGATTTGCCTATTCTGGTCATTTCATATAAATGGAATTATACAATATATGGCCTTTTACGTCTGGCTTTCTAAACTCAACATGATATTTTCACAGTTCATCTATGTTGTGGCATGTATCAATACTTTATTCCCTTTATGGCTGAACATTTTATTATATGATAAATCGGGGTCATAGGATCATCCTCAGGTTTGATGATTTGCTGAGAGGACTCAGTACTCAGTGTATAGTCATGCTAAAGGCTATGATTTACTACAGAGAAAGGAAGCAAAGGGAAAAGCCGCGTGGGGCAAAGTTCATGAAAATCAAGGCATAAGTTTCTAAGGGTCTTCTCCCAGTGGGATCACAGAGGACGTGCCTAATTTTCCCCGCAATGAGTTGTGACAATGCTTCTGAAATGTTGCCAACAAGAGACACTCATTAGAAGCTCAATGCCCAGGGTTTTTTATTGGGAATTGGTAACGTAGGCACTTCCGCCCAATGTGTACCCCAATTCCAGACTCCCAGGAGGAAAGTCTGTGTTCAGCATAAACTATTGCTTGCATAAATGGTTTAGACAGAGTGAGCCACCTTTACATTTAGAGAATGCTAAGAATACTGCCCAAATCCATGTTTCCAGATATCAGCCAAGGGCCAAGCTTATAACGAAATCTTTCAAGTTATAGCAGTCAGGCCTGCTATGTTACCTATTTTCCCCTACATATGGATATACTATATTTTGTTTACCCAGTTATCAGATGATAGGCTTTTGGGTTATTTCAACTTTTTGGCTGTTATGAATAAATCCGCTATGAACATTTATGTATAAATTTTTTGTGTGAACATACATTTTCAAGTCTCTTATATACCTAGGAGTGTAATTACTGGGTCATATAGTAACCTTTTCAGGAACTGACAGACTCTTTTCCAAAATGACAGTACCATTTTACATTACCACCAGCATGTACAAAATTTCCAATTTCTCCATATTCTCAACATGTTACCTCTTTTTTTAAAAAAAACTGTACCTACCCTAGTGGATGTAAACTGGCATCTTATTGTTTTCATTTGCATTCCCATGATAGCTAATCATTTGCATTCCCATGATAGCTAATGATCTTGAGCAATTTTTGTATACTTATCAGTTATTTTTATATATTCTTTAGAAAACTAATCACATCCTTTGCCCATTTTAAAATTGGGTTCTCTTTATTGTGCTTTAAGAGTTCTGTGTATATACTGGAATACTAGACTCTTATCAGACATGATTTGCAGAAGTTTTCTCTCATTCTGTGGGTTCTCTTTTAGGGTATTCTGGAAATCAAACATCTTTAATTTGTGTCATTTCCACTTTATCTTTCCTTTAGTCACTATGCTTTTGATATGTCTGAGACACCAAGGTCATGAAGATTTATGCTTATATTTACTTATAACAGTTTTGTACTTTTAGCTTTTCCATTTAGGTCTTTGATCTATTCTGAGTTAATTTTTGTACGTGGTATGAGGTTAGGGTCTAACTTCATTCTTTTGCATTTGGATGTTCTGTTGTCTCAGCACCATTTATGGGGGAGATTGTTGTTTTCCCATTGTATTATTGCCTGGACACTCTTGTCAAAAATTAGTTGCCCATAAATGTGTGTTCTAGACTCAGTTCTATTCTACTGATCTACGTGTCCACCGTTCTTATGCTAGTACCACACAGTCTTGATTACTGTAGCTTTGTAGGAAGCTTAGAAAATTGAGAAGTGTGAATCCACCAACTTTGTTCTTTGCAAGATTGTTTTGGCTATTCCGGGCCCCTTGTATTTCAATTTGAATTTGAGGATTGGCTTGTCAATTTCTGCAAAAAAATTAAAAAAAAAAAACCCAGAAAAAAGTCAGCTAGAATTTTAATAGGGATTACATTTAATCTGTAGGTCAGTTCAGAAAGTACTACTGTCTTAACGATATTAAGTCGTCTAATCCATGAACACGAAATGTGTTTCCATTTATTTAGTTGCTTTCGACATTGTTTTGTAGGTTTCAATGAATGTCTTATACTTCTTTTGTTAAATATATTCCTGCTATTTTATTTTTTAGAATATTATTGTAAATGGAATTATTTTCTAATTTCATTTTTGATTGTTCATTGCTAGTATATAAAAACATAATTGATTTTTACATGTTGATCCTGTATCCTCCTGCAACCTTGCTAAACTTGTTTAGTGGTTTTTTTGTGGATTTCCAAGGGTTTTGTGTATACAAATTTGTCATCTATAAATAAAGATAGCTTTACTTATTTCTTTACCATGTAGATACCTTTTATTTATTTTTCTTGCCTAATTGTCCTGGCTAAAACCTCCTATAAAATGTTGAAAGAAGTGTTAAGAACAGACATCATTGCTGAGCTTAGGAAGAAAGCTTTCAGTTACCATTAAAGTATGATGTCAACTGTGGGTTTTTCATGGATGTCCTTTATCAAGTTGAGGACATTCTCTTTTATTCCTAGTTTGTTGAATGTTTTATCATGACAGCGTGTTGGACTTTGTCAAATGATTTTTCTGCTTTGGTTGAAGTGATCATGTGGTTTTTGTCCTTTATTTTGCTGGTATGGTGTATAACATTAATTTTCTGAATTCCTGAGATAAATCTTTTTGTCATGGTATATAATCCTTTTTATGTGCTGCTGGATTCAGTTTAAAATTATTTTGTTGAGGGTTTTTTTTATTTACACTAATAAGGAATGTTGGACTATGTTTTTCTTTCCTTGTGGTGCCTTTGTCCGCCTTTGTATTAGTAATACTGGCCTCATAGAATGAGTTGGGAAGTGTTCCTTCCTCTCCTGTGTTTTTGGAAAAATGTGTGAAGGATTGATGTTAATTATTAAACATTTGGTAGAATCTACCAGTCAAGCTATCTGGTTCTGTTTTTTTTCTTTGCAGGAAGATTTTGATTACTATTTCAATCCCTTTACTTGTTAATAGGTCTACTCAGATACCGTTTCTTCTTGAGTCAGGTTTGGTAGTTTGTGTCTTTCTTGGAATTGTCCATTTCATCTAGATTATCTACTTTCTTTGGCATTATTATTATTATTTTTGAGACGGAGTCTCACTGTCACCTGGGCTGGAGTACAGTGGCATGATCTCGGCTCACTGCAAGCTCTGCCTCCTGGGTTCAAGTGATTCTCCTGACTCAGCCTCCCAAGTAGCTGGGATTACAGGCAACCCACGCCCGGCTAATTTTTTGTATTTTTAGTAGAGACGGGGTTTCACCATGTTGGTCAGACTGGTCTCAAACTCCTTACCTCGTGATTCGCTCACCTCGGCCTCCCAAAGTACTGGGATTACAGGCGTGAGCCATCGTGCCTGGCTGGCATTATTTTTTGTTTTTATTTATTTCCATAGGTTTGTGGGGGAACAGGTGGTGTTTGGTTACATTAATAAGTTCTTTAGTGGTAATTTCTGAGATTTGGGTGGACCCATCACCCGAGCAGTATACACTGTACCCAATTTGTAGTCTTTTATCCCTCACCCTCCTTCCACCCTTTCCCCCACCAATCCCCAATGTCCATTGTATCATTCTTATGCTTTTGCATCCTCATAGCTTAGCTCCCATTTATGAGTGAGAACATACGATGTTTAGTCTTCTAATCCTGAGTTGTTTCTACATCACAGGATAGTTCTCTGTCAGGAATATTCTGCGTTGTCATTTTCAGTCTCATATCCCAAGCTCTGAAGGGCACAGGGATCAACTCAGGCCACGTGCATGGATACTTGACCATTGATGGTTGCTGAACCTTAGCCATTTATGCCATCTCGGTAAAAGCAATGCCTTCCAAGCAAATCTCTGGAATAATTTTACTGAAGCATGACAGAATTCGCACGGAAGAAGACAGCTCCTGAAATATCCATGACAGCTCCCACAGACACAGTGCTCACTGCCCCAACAGGACCCGGGGAACCTCCCCCAAGGGGAAACAGAGGCATCATAGGTTCCAGGGATGAGGTGGCAGTCAATGTGGGCAGCCAACGGCAGCTACGAGTTCAATTTTTTGGCATTATCTATTACTTTTTAACATTTAACATTTTTATAGACTACTTTTCAAAGTTTCTGCTGTTTATTTTTTATTTTTAATTACTTATTTTTGAGACAGAGTTTTACTCTGTTGCCCCGACTGGAGTGCAGTGGCATACAACCTCTCACAGCTCACTGCAACCTCTGCCTCCTGGGTTCAAGCGATTCTCATGTCTTAGCCTCCCAAGTAGTTTACAGGCACCTGCCACCATGCTCAGCTAATTTTTGTATTTTTTTAGTAGAAACTAAAAAAATGTTAGCTAGGCTGGTCTCGAACTCCTGACCTCAAGTGGTCTGCCCACCTTGGCCTCCCAAATTGCTGGGATTACGGGTATGAGCCGCCATGCCCAGCCGGATTCTGCTGTTTTAGATTGACCTTTCTTCAGTTAGTCCAAATTAAGAAGGTTTAATATTATATATGAAAGTGGCACACTAAGGAAACTAGCATTCTTTCTTTTTAAGAATCACCAATGTTATTTAATTAATATTTTATATTTTGTCTTTTAGGATTATATATTCATCAAACAGAAACATAAAAAACTATGAAGAGGAAATTCTTAGGAAAAAGATAGTGGAGACTGGGATATCACAAAAGCAACTTGACATCAGTTTTCCACAGTGTAAAAACTCATCTGATTTTTCTCTTCAGAAGCATGAAATTCCAGAGGATATCAGTGACAGAGATGACGATTTCATTTCCAATGGTGAGGTATTTTTTATGGAGTTTTATTTATAGCCGTGAAAATAATTGTATTCTGATACAGTTAGAGAAAAGCGTACTTCAAAGATATACTTTACTGATTTTTTTTTTTAATAAGCATGGAGAATTGAAAACACTAGTACCGTTAACTCTCAGTTTTTCCCAAGTAATTGGAGATAGGCTTATTATGAATAAATCCATACGTAACTCACAATTCTCCTTTTAGCCACTATGCCTCTGTGTTATTGTCCTTATTATAATCTATGGCAATAAAGAAGCTTTAGCAGAGTCAGTTCTGTTTAATACCCTAATAAAAATGGTAGCCTAGTTTTATGAATATTAAATGGTTAAGAAGTACATAAATACTATAATACATATGGCATTTTACCATGAAAAAGGCCGGAAGTTTGCTTGTCGAAGTGGATTTCAGAAGGGTTGTAGCTTGTGAGTTATTGCAGATTTATGGAAAGAGAATATTAAGGAGGGATGCATGCATAGAGAGAGGTTCTGACAGAAAACCTGAGGTCCCTGGATCAGAGAACAGACCATTTATCACTTGCAGAGCATCTTAGTGCCAGTTCTCAGCTCCTAAACTCTGTGAGGCACTGCAGTGAGGGCCTGATGTTACCCAGCCCATGCAGTGGGATTGCACCACAGAAGAGGAACACCAAAATTAGGAAACTTTAAGCTTTCACAGGTTGCTGGCAGATCTTCCCATTTTCTTCTCTAGAGACAGAAAGACCTTTCTTTGGAAGGTAAATCTTTGGGAGGGGAGGAGAAGGTAGTTTCCTTACCCTGTAATATAAGGAAATGACTTCCAGAGGAGGAAGGTTTCTCAATGTTTCTGAAGTAATACATATCTCTAGTTTCCAAGGCATGTTTGCTGTTTAATCATCCTTTAACCAAGTTTACTGGTGCTCTGCTCAGACAGATCAGACCATGCTGAAACATAAAAATATTCATAGAAAAGTGTCTCCCAATAGTTGGTTATCTGAAGTCAGATGGGAATTTATAAAACCAGATATAGATGGGTGTGTCTTATAACACATGCAGTAAACTGAGGTATCTGGTATTTGGGTGTGCGTGTGTGTGTGCATGGCTCAGTTCAACTGAGTGCAGCTTTCTGCATTAACTTAGTGTTTCTCATCTGAATTTTGCACCTAAGCAAATGCAAAATTTATGTTATGCTCAAAATGTTCCCTAATACATGAATTGTATTGGATCAAACTCATTTTTTCAAAAAAAGTGTTAGAGCAGAATTGATTGTATTTGAAAACATTTGTTGGGCTAAAGGATCTTATTACTGGTGTGTAAAGCAACAATTACTCATCTGATTTATCCTGGTTAGATTCCTGTTATATTACAGTCAACATATCTATTTATGAGTGAATGAATAGACATTCTAGGCCTTGCGGTAGATCATTCATATGCTTTATTTAATTTCGTCTCATAAAACCCTAGGAAGTGTTACAGACTGATTTTATCAATAAGACCCAGATAGGACTCTAAGACTCAGAGAGCATAAGAGACTTTCCTGAGGTCACACACAGCGATTGACAGAGCTGATATTTGAAATCCAGTTTTCTTACTCTAGTCTAAAGCTCTGCTGCGGCTCTATGGCAACCCTTTAAAGTGGCCAAATAAGTTACGAGTTTAAGTGAAAAGAGCCTCTGCCTTTTGACTCTTTTCTCCATCACTCCATGGAAAATCCCCACGTTCACCAGTAACCTCCTAGTTGCCAGCTTAGCAGACATTTTTTTTGTCTACATCTTATAAACCTTTTTGCAGCCTTTCATACTGTTAATGCTGCCCTCCTTGAAACTTCTGTTTTCTGTGACACCATGCTTTCCTGATTTTCTTTCTTGGCCAATTCTCAGTCTTTTTTACTGATCTATCATCTTTCTGCCCCTTAAATAAATGGTATTCTGTAATTTTTTTGAGCTTCATAGCCAGTCACTGACTAAACATATCTGTTAAAGTCTACCTTATTTTTTTATTTTTTAAATCTTTATTGTTTTTAATGAGATGGGGTCTCACTCTGTCACCCAAGCAAGAGTACAGCGTCATGATCTCAGCTCACTGCAACCTCTACCTCCCAGGCCCAAGTGATCCTCCCACCTCAGCCTCTCGAGTAACTGGGCCCACAGGGGTGACCACCACGTCTGGCTAATATTTTGTATTTTTAGTAGAGATGAGGTTTCCCTGCGCTGCCCAGGCTGGTCTTGAACTCCTGAGCTCAGGCAATCCACCCACCTCAGCCTCCTAAAGTGCTGGGATTATAGGCATGAGCCACTGTGCCCAGCCAAAATACATCTTAAATATCTCAAAAGTAACCTGTCCCAAATTCAACTTGTGGGACTCTGTCACCAGTGACTGATCTTCACCAGATCTACTGGCCAAAGTTTGTTGACAAGCAAAGTTATGATAAACAGTTGTTAAAAGAAAAACGTTAGATAAAATAAACCTGAGTTTATTTGAACAAAGAACAATTCATGAATCATGCAGCACTCAGAACCAGAAGAGGTTCAGAGAACTCTGCTCTACAACTGGCCAGTGAGTATGTATAAACAGAACATGGAAGTAAAGTACAGAAATGACTTGATTGGTTATAGCTAAGTGTTTGCCTTATTTGGACATGGTCAGATCAGTTGGCTGCTTGTGATTGGGCAAAGCTCGGCTTCTTATAATTGGCTGAGATCTAGCTATCTATTACCAAAAATAAACACTCCTAAGTTAGGTTAGGTTTTAGTTTGTTTACATACTAAGGTTGCAGTTCCTTAAGTAGGAACTCAAAGTATGGAGGCAGCCTTAGTTCAAATTTAAGTTAACAATTTCTGCCTTTGGATTAGTCTCTTGATTGTGAGATCGACCAAAACCTTGGGCATTGATGCCAGTCTCTTGATACCATCATAATGGACTCGTTTGGTCTCAGAGTAGAACCTACTGGTCTCCATGTCAGGTCAGTTAAATGATTCTTTACATTCTTGCTGTTTTAGTCAAAGTTAAGACCATTTAATGCACGATGGATGGCGGCATACAAATATTTAAGACTCCTGAGAGGATATGGTATGCCAGGGATGCTACTATTATGACTATCAGGAGGCTAATACCAAAAGACAAAAGTGTACTGCCAGGCGCGGTGGCTCACGCCTTTAATCCCAGCACTTTGGGAGGCTAAGGCGGGTGGATCACGAGGTCAGGAGATTGAGACCATCCTGGCTAACACAGTGAAACCCCATCTCTACTAAAAATACAAAAAAAAATTAGCCTGGCGTGGTGGCACGTGCCTGTAGTCCCAGCTACTTGGGAGGCTGAGGCAGGAGAATGGCGTGAACCCAGGAGGCAAAGCTTTCAGTGAGCTAAGATCGCGCCACTGCACTCCAGCCTGGGTGACAGAGCGAGACTCCGTCTCAAAAAAAAAAAAAAAAAAAAAAAAGTGTGCTCCTTTATAGGGGCTCCTACAAACCAAACTGATCAAAATTAATCAAATAAAAATTTAGGCAAGATAGAGAGTTCAATAATATTTGAGTCAAATTGGTCATAGTCTGTTCAGGGAATGATGGTGATTAAGGACCGTAGTTTACTGTAGAATGATCTGATTTCAAAAGGTATCCAAGTTTGTGACCAGCCTGGGCAACATAAGGAGACTCTCTATCTATAAAACATAAAATTAGCTGAGTATGGTGGCGTATACCTGTAGTCCCAGCTACTTGTGAGGCTAGGGTGGGAGGATTGAATTGCTTGAGCCCAGGATTTTGAAGCTATAGTAAGCTATGTTCATGCCACTGCACTCCAGCCTGAGTGACAGAGCAAGACTCTGTCTCTAAAAAATAAAATAAAATTTTTTAAAGATAATCCAATATCGTTGTTAGCCTGATAACACAGGTCATAGTAACCTAGAGACCCACAAGAAGAAACATAGAGATTAGAAATTTTTCTAAATTCTAATTAAGAAGTAATTAATTCTAATTAAAAATTAGAAAAAGATGTTCATGAAGAGGCTTCATTTTTGGTGTATAATTCTGTGATAATACTACCTATATTTAAATATGTATATTTAAAAGTATACAGTCATGTGCTGCATAATGACATTTTGGTCAACAATGGACCACATATATGACAAAGGTTTTATAAGATTATGATACCGGATTTTTACTCTACCTTTTCTATGCTTACATACACAACTACTTACCATTGTGTTACAGTTGCCAACACTATTCATTGCAGTAACATGCGGTGCAGGTTTATAGCCTAGGAGCAGTGGGCTATACCATATGGCCTATGTGTGTAATAGGCTATATCGTCTAGGTTTGTGTAAATACACTCTGTGATGTTCACACAGGAATGAAATCAGCTAACAACGTATTTCTCAGAACTGTCATTAAGGGATGCATGACTGTTATTAAGCAATGCATGACTCTATCTATATTTACATGTAAGTAGAAATATATTTCAAAGGAGAAAGTCTAGATGATTTAACCTTTTTGTTTTATTTTTAATTTACTACTTACATATTCCAACTAATTGAGATAATTATGTGGGAAACCTCTTGGTAATAATAGAAAACAATTTTTGGATGTTTGTAGTATTAAACTATTTTTTAGTCTTGTTTTTCTTTTTTAAAGATAATTATGACTTGGAGCCTGCATCTGAATTAGGAGAAGATTTATTGAAGCTTTATGTGAAACCTTGTTGCCCAGATATTGATATTTTTGTTGATGGAAAACGTTTTAAAGCTCACAGGTAAATAGACACGACTAATTTGCTGTCTTGGTTGTGACTGTAGAGTGTGGAAGGGCAGCTGTCTCTTTCCAGCACGGTGGTTTTCGAGCTTTGATTTTCACACAGGCCACAGGGGTTCCATGAAGGCCAAAGGGATTCCACTGTGGTTCCTCAGGGGGGAGTCGAACAGGGGAAGAGGTTGACCATCAGGCAAGGTTTTCTGCAGGTTTTCACACATGCACACGTGGGCCCACCCAGACATGTGCATGTATATGTTTCTGCCAGAGCAGATCTCATCTATGTTTGGGCATGAACCTAAGATTTTATTAGAAGAAAATGTTCTGCTGCCTAAAATAGATTTGAAAGCCACTGTCACAGAAAATGTAGTTAAATGCAGTTTTTAATTTTATAGGCATTATAGTATTGAGAAGTATTATTTCTACATGAATGACATGTATTTTCTCTGAATGCATTTTGGCTCAGATTCCGTGTTTCAAAATAGATGATGCTCATGAATAGCATTGATTAGGAGGTTTAATATTTCAATGTACTTTTTAAAAACCATTGTTCTGCTTCAGAATTGGGTTGCTTAAACATTCCAGGCATTTAGATTTCAAATTAAAGCCGGTTGCCTGTTTTAGTCAGGCTCTTTGATTGCAAGTAACTAAAATCTGCTTAAAAGCAGAAAAAAATTTAATAAGAAATACATATTATCTTTTGGAACTCAAGGGAAAGAAGTACAGCTGGGTCTCACTATAGACTAGAATCTGAACCAGAAAACTTAGGAACCCAGACAGTTCTTCCTCCTTCTCTTTGTGTTTCAAATAGAATGTTGATAAGAAGTTATTCTGGTGCTTCTGAAGAGGAAGAACCAGAGTATTTGCAGTGGCAAGTGGTAATCTTCTAGGTTCAGGGGTGCACAGCCCTTAATGAAATTAGCAGTGGGTTTAGGTTACTGTAATCCAGCAAGCCAAATAGTGGTAATATTTGTACTCTTAGAAATCACACTGGTTTTGCTAGTTGACAGCAATACAATCCAAGGATTGCTAGTCTGAACTATTTACTATTCAAAATTTAACTTTTCTCTATGGGAATATGTACTTTGTAAATATACATATACGCATTTTCCTAATTCTTGTGAAATCTGCATTAAATATTGCAAAATTCAGAATATAATCTAGATTGATCATTATATTTTCCATCTCATGGGTATATTTCCTAAATCATGGTGTGGGTGTGGTTGTGTGTCTCTCCATCTTGTTTTCATTTTTTTTTCTGACCAACACAATTTTATTTTAAAAATTAATTTTATTTTGTGTCCAGGTTTTTCATGAGACCGTGTGGGCATCCTACCAAAGTTACAGAGCCCTAAAGCTATTGCCGTCATACAGGGAAGGCAGGACCCTGTGACCATTTGCAATATGTCCTCAAACAGTGCCTATATTTGGCCTCTCCCTGTGTACTGCCTGACAATGAACTAACAGGACTGTGTTTTAGGAGCTGGACCTAGAATATTAGGTTTGTATTCCAGGACAGCTCTTGCTCAATTTCTGGTTTATTTTTTTCATCTAGCAATAAAAAAAAAATTCATATTAACTAGAAAGACAATAAGTTTTCCTACTTTTTTCTTGCCCTTATGTAAGTTAGAATAGCAAATTCTAAATTATAAGGTTACCTTCCTAGTCCAGACTCAAACATCTTTCTGTTTATAGTACATACTAATTTTATTATGCAGTTTAAGGAATATTGTGTCAGTAGTTCAGAGAATACATATTCATCTAAAGCCCAACATTGGAACTTTCTCAGTTACTTGTTCTAGATGATCATTGTCAGCATTCTTCTAGTGGTGTGGCTAAAAATCCTTTTGTAATATGGCTGCTTTAATTTTTTAATTATACATACTTATATATTAAAAGATCAATACAAGTACTTACAAAGGACCAGGATTTATGACTGGAATTTTATTCAGTTTAGGTATCAACATTTTTAAAACCTTAGTTTGCTAGTTTAATGTACCCAAATTGTTATGGTCTTCTATTAAGCTAATCTTTCTCTCATGGTCAAGTTACTTCCTCGGTAACAGTTCTTCCAAGGTAGTCTCTCCAGCTGCTCTGTCCATTCTTTACCATGATCCTCAGCCCAATCCCTGGAACACTTTGTATGCTGAAAGACAGTCTGATGCCAGTCACTTGCTTGTGGTGGCACAACTAAGCCAAAGAAATCATTTGTAACAGAGTGGTTAAGAGTGTGTGGACTGTAGGGACAATCTGCATGGGTTTTAATTTCATGTCCACCATTATTAGCTGTGTGAATTTGGGTAAGTCATTTAACCATTCATTCTGCGTTTCAGCATCCTTATCAGAGATGGGGGTTATAACAGTCTCCATCTCATAATGTGATTGTGAGAATTAAATTACAGTTGTTACTGAGCACTCAATGGGCTTACTACCTGATTAGCCTTCATGGATTCCATTAGTCAGTTATGTTACTACTTTTCTGAATATTGTATCCTGGGATACTACTGCACATTACCCCTTGTTGTGGACCTCTGTAACATTATCTTCCTGCCCCAGATGCTCTCAATTACCATATGAATACCATCTGGATATTGTACATTTCTTTCTGCTTGTATTTATTCCTGTCACCTTCAGTCTACTTCTAAGTATCTGCCTGAGTCACTGCATTGCTGACTTCCCTTTTTTTTTTTTTTTTTTTAAGATAGAGTCTCGCTCTGTTGCCCAGGCTGGAGTGCAGTGGCGTGATCTCTGGTCACTGCAAGCTCCACCTCCTGGGTTTACACCATTCTCCTGCCTCAGCCTCCCAAGTACCGGGGACTACAGGCGCCCGCCACCACGCCCGGCTAATTTTTTGTATTTTTTGGTAGAGACGGGGTTTCACTGTGTTTGCCAGGATGGTCTTGATTTCCTGACCTTGTGATCTGCCTGCCTCGGCCCCCAAAGTGCTGGCATTATAGGCGTGAGCCACCGCACCTGGCTGCTGACTTGCCATTTTGTAGTGTAATTTATTATTTTAATGTTTTATGAAAGAAGTTTAATGTTACATTTTTAAGATAATTTGTTGCACTTCTGTGTTCCGTAATTAAAATTCTCTTATGCTGCCTCATTGAAAAAGAGCAGTCATTCTTTTTTTTTTTCCCTAAGACAAAGTTTTGCTCTTTTGCCCAGGCTGGAGTGCAGTGGCGTAATCTCGGCTCACTGCAACCTCTGCCCCCTGGGTTCAAGCGATTCTCATGTCTCACCCTCCCAAGTAGCTGGGATTACAGGCACACGCCACCAACCTTGGCTAATTTTTGTATTTTTTAGTAGAGACAGGATTTCACCATGTTGGCCAGGCTGGTCTCAAACTCCTGACCTCAAGTGATCCACCCGCCTCAGCCTCCCAAAGTGCTAGTATTATATGTGTGAGCCACTGTGCCTGGCCCCGTCATTTCTAACTTTAGCCTTGTGACACTCAAAATCTGGTATATCTTCCAGAATACCTTTCTTATCAGTGCCTGATAATATACCATTAGACATTCATTCATTTGGTTAAGATGTCAAATCTTCCTTTAATATCTCTCTGAATATTTAGTAAATTGGCACTGTGTCCTAAGATCATTGTTCTGTATGTCCTTGAAAAAGCTAAAAGTTTTCTCAGAAGTGGTATGATTTAGTAATTAAGAAGTTGGTCTTTTTGTATTTAGATTATGATTCCACCACTTATTTTGAAAATTCTACCACTTATTAATTGTTGGGAAGTTACTTAATCTCTCCAAGTTTCAATATCTTTATCTGTAAAAGAAATAGTAGTAGAAATTATAGCATGGGATAGCTGTGAAGATTGAATCATATAATGCACATGAAGCACTTAGCATAGTACCTGGCACATTGTAAGCTTTCAAAAGTAAGTGTTAGTTGCTATAAGTATGTAATAGATATCTGTAAGACTGGCACATATGTTGCCTGTTCTAGCTTGCCTTATATCAGGGGGCAAACTGTGGCCTAAATGTGGTTAAGTGGCCTGTTTTTGTATGAGGCAACAAAAAAGCAGAGACAAGTAATGCCACAGGGACCTGCAAGTCTAAAATGCCTTTCAAGAGTCACTTGGGTTTGTTCCCAAACCTGCTTATGCCACTTGAATTTATTTTTTTGATGACAATGAATATAAGTCAGTGATACATAAAATACGAAAGAGAAAAGTTATTGTTCCAGTGAAAACTCGGGTGAGTGCTTTGGGAGGATTAAATAAGGATTAAATAAGGGAAAGGCACTTTAAAAATTGCTGTTGTGGCCAGGTGCAGTGGCTCACACCTGTTATCCCAGCACTCTAGGAGGCTGAGATGAGAAGAGCACTTGAACCAGGGAGTTTGAGGCCAGCCTAAGCAACAAAGCAAAACCCCATCTCTACAGAAAAATTTAGCTGGGCATGGTGGTGTGCACCATGTAGTCTCTGCTAATTGGGTGGCTGAGGTGGGAAGATCATTTGAGCCTAGGGGTTTGAGGTTGCAATGAGCCAGTGAGTGCCATTGCATTCCAGCTTTGGGAACAGAACAAGACCCTGTCTCAAAAAAAATTTAAAAACTAGATATCATAGTGTATATGTGTATTGTTTTTGTGAGAATGACGTTTATATCAGTGAACCCATGTTAAAAAAAAAAAAAAAAAGATGGGGCTTATGATAAAAGATGTGTGAATTAAATGCATATTTCTTCTTAAGTTAGATAGAATAAAATTATAGTATACAGAAATAGCTTTCTTAATTCCTCATTTTTTCAATTAACTAAACGACTATTACTCCAAATTGTGTTGGATAATAGGGTATCCACGGCACTTAACTTCAGAAAAGGCCAGTCCTATGAAAGCTGTAGTCAATGGATGTCACAAAATTCCCAAGAGATGGTTAACTTTGCTTTCACAAAGTTATGTTCTCTGAAGTATTTGCTAAGAAGTGACATGGACAATAGTGATTACTCCAAAAATTTAGATTCGTGACTCTGGATTTAACTCTTACTCAGTTATGTG